GAAAAGAAACACCGACAGAAAACTCATGACAAAAAAGTACAAAAATTCGACGTCTTTGGGGTTACGGTAGCGTGCCTCTCCCAGTGCACGTCGAGCTTTTGCACCAAGAAAGTTATGACGCGTGATTTTTACTCGTTTTACTTGCGAGATGGGTTATGCTCCCAAATAATAAAATGTAATGAAGGAGAGCAGAATTATTTATGGGCACGAGCGCGGTCAGCAAAAAGGACATGCAATTCCGATTAATGCCCGCCGCCCCAACAAAAACAACTGAGCGGCCTTCGGAGGGCATCTAGCAAGTGGGCGGTCCAACTGAGCGGGCGTTAGAACTAGAACTTTCAGCGGCTGTAGCTCGCTCCTCGCTCGCTGTGGAGTCGCGAGAGTGGGGCAGTCTCTAGCTTGGGGGCTGGACTACTTGCACAAGGAAGGACGACCAAGTTGGTGACAATTAACTTGAAAAAGGCTGAAAATGTGGGTACCTTTCTAGCAGTCGGGGCGGTCTCGTCTCATTAGTAGCGCTGGCGCGCGCTGTGTCGCAATCCGGCGACCACGGCGATCGCGGCAGTAATCGGAGAGCATTGTGAAGAAAACTTGGATCCAACAAAGTATTGCCCCATTGAAACTGGATCATATGTGAAATGAAGAAGCGTAAAAATGCATCCACTTTTGTGAAAGGGTAATACAAATGCCTCTTGGAATTTCCCGCATCAAAGGACGAAAGAAGCCCCAACAGAACGAAGAATGAATGGAAACTACAAGACAGGAGCACTAGCATATTCCCTCTCTGACGGACGAAGCGACTTGTTGGTACCGTATATAACTTCAACAGGAAGACAGACCCTGCACTCGAGAAATTCGTGATCTTCTCCTTATGCATGCATTACAGGACGCAGACTCGGAAACTGTCCCACCTTCGCAGCCTCACAGTCCAGTGAGCAAAGTATGCCGTACAGCCATCGAAAGTTTTTGCTTTCACACTCAGCCGGTTGGAACCACCTACCAAATGCCTCCTTCATCAGTAAGCGCCAGCTTGTCGTTGTCGCTTTTAGTAGAGCAGCGGCATGACCCTGACTGGATTTTAAGTTCATTGGTGACCGCAGTATATTTGCTTCTCCTCTCTTCACTCCCGTGTTCATGAGAGCCCTGGGGAGCTCCTTCTCACTTCAGTAATTTTAGTGTTTTAGTTTTTTTTTCTTGTTTTTTCCCAGAAAATGCAACCACCCACAATGTTCAGTCGCAGGAATTGTCTTCAAAACGGACACAGGCCACCATTCTGCCGCGTTCTCACTTTGCGGCAGCGTCCGCCACCGTTTCAAGCATTCGTCAGCATCAGTGATCAGGAAAGTTAACATAGATCTCTCGAATCTCAGCGTCTACCAGCGTCTACCAGCGTCTACGAGTGGAGAGTATGGGAACGTAGGAGGGCAGCAGACTGCTGGTGAAGTATGGAGATACAGGAGGGAGCAGACAGCTGGATTAGGCGTCGTGATTTTGTGGCGTGTGCAACCGCTTTGCAATTACTCACACTAAAATTTCTAATTCTGTGCTTTGGCAGTTGAAGGGGACAGTTGCCGCAGCGATTTCACGAGACCTGATCAAGGTGACTGCTCTTTCTCACTTCTCCATACTCTACCAGCAGTATGCTATGCTTCTCACCACTGCTCTGCTCCTGGTCGCTGGTAGACGCCGGCATTCGCTACTTTCCTGAACTATCATTGCGATGCACGAATGTGGTTCGGTTTCTGAGATCGCGCACCGGGCTGCCTGGGCAAGAATGAAGTTCTGCCGGGCGCGGCTGAACGCCGCGTTTGACCCCGTATGTGAACACCTCTTCTGTGTGACTAGCCATATACGTTGAGTATTCCATACTCATAGCGAATCGTTTTGCATAATATGTTTGCTGTTTCTGGCTTTTTGCAAACGCTCCTCTCCTTACTTTTTTTGGTTCTCTTTTCAAATCGGGAAATTGTTTCAGGTGGGTTTGGGACAGCCTGCATTCCTGAAAAGAGGTCTCGTATATTTTTGCAGGCCTGATGTAGGCCTTAGGCCAAACAGAGGCCTATGATACAACGTTCCAAATTCCAAATCGAATCCATTCAATAAAATGTTTTGTTGTACCTACTGTTTTTTCGCACCTACTCAAATTACCTTTGATTTCATATCGAGAGTGTGATTACATTTGACACGCGAAATTCTGCGTTCATTTTCGAGTGATGCCATGACGCTGTTGCTCTCATCTTAGAGAATATTTCTTACAACTAGGTTGATAGCTCAAAGAATATGCTGTAGGTGGCTTCTAGACCGTTTCATGGGCACGCTTCGCGATTAAAGGCACGGTCCGCGCGATTCGAGGGTAGCCAAAGTTCGAAAATACTGGCTGTAAGGTAGTCAGTGTGGCTCCGGCGGCGAACAATTTGTACCTGTTTCGATGGCAGAAATTTGCTAAGGATAGGGGCGCTATAAGCGCTTGACAGGTTCAGTAATGCCTCACTTTTCTCGCAGTGACTCCCCCGCCTCCAGACTCGGCACCTCTTCCGAGCCCCCTCACTCTAAGGTAAGGCGAAAAGGCAGAAGCTGCCGCCAAGGGAAACAGCATGAAAAATCGCCATTTTGTACGGTTAGTAATGTTCGTATCTGGAGAATCAGCTGTGCCGGATGAGGCATAGTGTTGTAAGCAGCAGTCCATTTGGCACTTACAAACTTGGGACTAGAAAGGACAAATCTGTATGTTTCTTCCTGCTTTTTTTCTTCAGGCAATGCGAGCTGCCCAGCACTCTTTCGGTCTACATGCAAACTTACCACTAATCTGTGATTGCGAAGGTGGCAGCGCTTCGCCGCTTTAGTGAGCGAAAGACTGTGAGGCTATCCTTCTGAGCAATTACGCTCTGCCTATTGTGTAGGGGTTTGCACTGGCCAGCCATCGGTGGTTGTGATTAATCCTCCGCGTTAAAGACACATAGTACGCTCATACACATTGAGGGTGTATGAGACTATCAGCCCCCCAGATGTCGATGTGTCGTGGTCCCCCCGCCCAAACATGCCGGAATGGAGATACAGGGCCGTGAAACACGCTAATTCTTCCATGCTCCGCCCACTGCCTTTTTACGGCGCAGATTCCCGCCGTTCATAACATCCGTCGTAAGCGCGCCTGTCGCGTGCGGCTCCTTGGCACTTTGCCAAGTCCTTTAATTGCGCTCTCAAATCCAAGTAAAACGCGATTTCCTGATGCGGATAACATTGGAGGTGCTACAAAATAAGAGCAGAAGACGATGACAAGGGGCAGAACTCAAGAGCAACTCGGCTGCATCTGCAGTATCCATCAAGGGCCGCCACATTCCCAAACAACAAACATGAAAATAAAAACAGCCCAAGCGTCCCACTCGTTTGTTCTAAGTATTTCTATGGCTTTGGCGCCGGATCGTAGAAATTTACAGGCCAGTTTATCTAATTTGCCTTTCCTTGATTTTTTCATTTTTGTTTTGTTTACATTTACATCGTTGTGCTTCATTTCTAGCCTGTGTCATCTTCATCTCCTTGTACATGGATTTTGAAGCATGAGCAACACCTCAAATTTTATTCGCATCAGGAAATTGCGTTTGTATCAAACTAACAAGTATGCCCTTTTTATTTTCATGTTTTGTGGAATGCGCGGCCCTTGATGGATACTGCAGATGCAGCCGAGTTGCTCTTGAGTTCTGCCCCTTGTCATCATCTTCTGCTCTTATTTTGTAGCACCTCCAATGTTATCCGCATCAGGAAATTGCGTTTACTCGTATTTGAGAGGCAATTAGAGACTTGACAAAGTGCGAGGAGGCCGCAACGCGGACAGCGCCCTACGGACGGATGTTATGAAAACCGCGGGAATCGCGCCGGTAAAAAGGAGGTGGCGGAGCATGGAAGAATTAGCGTGTTTCACGGCCCTGTATCTCCATTCCTGGGCATGTTTGGGCGGGGGGACCACGACACATCGACATCTGGGGGGCTGATAGTCTCATACACCCTCAATGTGTATGAGCGTACTATGTGTCTTTAAATACTCTTTCTTTCCGGGAGCGGCTCGACCTAGAGCAGCGTTAAAGGGAAACAAGCCGTGCAGAACGATTAGAATGCTAAGTAAGTTCAATTGCTTGCGATGTTTGTTGGCCAAATATTTGCAGCAGCTTCCGGAAATCCTTTTTTTGGTTACTCATAAGTTTCCCAAGAAGGACATCTGAAGAGAAGAGAGCAGTGTTGAGAAGCTATAGGGTTACGAGTCGGATCGCCCGGCTAACGCTTGGTGCTCCCTTCCTGTTCCACGGCCCGGTGTCGATCGAAACGATCACAGCTATTTTTCAGCTTGGCGGTAGTTGTAGAAAAATATGTTGAAAATAGTTCAACATTAGTAATTATCTATCAACACTGACCCCTCTAGCTAACTACTGGCTTTCAACTCTGAGAAAGTTGCACATATCATTAAGTACCACTGTGGCGACATCACATCTAATGTGCAATTGGATCAAAGTGTTCCACTTTTTTCCCAACTGATAGTGAGTACAATTGGTTACAATGACCAAAAATGCTTAACTTCATAGATCTTAGCAGGAGTTATACAAAAAAAGCGACTTATCACACTGATGCGCTCTTCAACAATAAATTTTTGACCTCCTGGTCCGCACCACGGCCCCTTCCCTCACAGATTGCCCTCCCCCTCTAACCGTTTAGGTGTCTTAGTATGTACTGCAACTCTTCGAGTCATAGCATCGTCTTTTATTCAAAGCGCATTTTGACTAAAATCAAGCTGTGGTGCTGAAGACTACAAAGTCTACAATAGAATCTCAATCAAAACATCTCTTCACTACAGAAATTCAGTGGGCTTTCCATTGACACTTGTGTTCCTAAGAGCTTCTCCGAGTAGCTCCGATATCAAGTCAAGCAAGCTGCGCTCCGTCTTCATCGTGAAGCATGAAATGGATGCGAATCCATGAATCAGGCAGACGCTTCGAGTACATCTAAAAAACAACTATCTGAACTGAAATGCGGTGCTATGATCGACAGGCTAATGCAATCAAAAAATGCCTGTCGCTCGCGCGACGAAGGGACAAGTTACGATCGTCTTGACCCGCACATCGATACAGTACGGTAGAGAAGCAACTTGTAACACAGCGAGCCCATCGCCACAGCCAGCGAAGCTGCGCTCATCGACACCCGTTTGCTTTGGGAATGTTCAGTTTTCTTAAAAACCGTTCATTCTTAGCGTCAGCGTTTTGGGCGTTTCGGTCTCAGACCAGCGTTTTGAGCGCACGCCAGCGTATGGCAGGTTTTGAGCTTTCAGTCGCTGGAAATGCTGACGAAAAGAATGAAGGCACTCCCATGGTGGGCTGAGTCCGCCCGGTAGAGTCGATGAATTTGGCAAAAGTTGCATTCTCTACTAATTCCAGCTGTCAATAGAATTCAGCAAGGAACGTTCGTCCGGTCCGGCTGGTGAGAAAAGCAAGATGCCGGGTAGGACCACGAGCACTGGTTAATCCACAACTAAGACTTCTTCAGCCAAGAGAATGACTCATTTAAACGCGTACCGTGCCAGGAATGGTACATCGTCTGTTTCCTTTCAGAACCGTATACAAGAAGTTGTTCTTTGTCTCCCTTTCAGTAACGAGACTCTGGAAAACAAAAATCACTTAGAAACTGAGTGATAGCGTCTACCTATACTCCATATCTCGGATATGGGGAAGGCGTGGTCGTGTGTGTCATAAGAATAAGCGCACAGTCTGTTTTTCGTGGGACACTTACATTTGAGACGAATTCCATTTTCCGGGAGACGTGCAACAGAATCGTCCGGGGCAGCGCCCGCGGCACGCGGCGCGTCGCGCGGCGAATGACTCAGCAGCTCACTTACGTGCATTTGCTAGCCGATAGCTTTGCGACTGGAGCAAATGATTTACTACAGCGTACATCCGCAACATTTAGCAGGTTTCATCAATGATTGAAAATCTAATGATGTTTTTCTTGATAGTAACACACAATTGTTTGGCGGTTCCATAAACGCAACTTCAGGAAATAAACAGATACAAAAGAAATCAGATAAGGCCGTGATTCTCCCTATGTTTATGTGGTTCACATGATTTGCGCAGTCGCCAGCGTCAATATAATAGACGGATGGCCAAGTTTTTCTGTGAGCTGCTGTAAAAGATGACAAACCAGAGCAAATGTTAAAGACCCCAATGAATTTCGTGCTCTATTGAACTTTTTCATACTCTAACTGAAAACTTAACCGTAACTGAACACAAGACTCGATCCTGGGTGATATCAATATTTACCTTCCCTTCAATAACCCTATTCAAACCGCCAGAAGCACGCTTCGTCTTCTCGCCGCAAGTATGTCGCAGGCCACGCCCACCAGCTGCCCGGACGATTCTGTTGCTACCCCATTTTCCCATACTCTGGACGAAGACATGACCACAGTTGTCCCGAAACGGCACCGAAAGCGCAGCCGCAGCTACTTCCGAACAAGGTACGCAGCCACGCTCACTCCATGCCCGACAAATGAAGTGTAATTTCGAGCATTCTAAATGCGTAACCCATGCCGTCAAAAATGCCTGCAAGAACTGCAGCTTCAATCTATAGGGAGCCCTAATCAAGCTCTGGACTATGACTGAGGACACATTCTACGACAAGCTGACTGGAACACTCTCTCCCTTCTGAGAGAAAGTACAACCTTGTTCCCTGTGGATGCTGGAGCGCGCCACGCCGACCAGTTTTCTACCAGTTGATGTCGCTTGCTCGCTTCAGCAATTGGTGGAGAACAATGCGGCGCTGCGGCGAACATAGTCTAATTCACACCCCCTGCTCCGCGACCAACAAGCTATAGGTTGGTCAGCGAGTGAAAAGGCTATACTCACTCACTGGTCGAACACGAATCGTACCAATAGTTGTATTTGGGGTGAGGGGGGGGAGTATGTGAGTATGTTTGACCTCCAAAAACTTCTCCCTGTTTGGTTTTTCCTGCTCCCTGCCCGTTGTATACCCATAAGAAATGGCTTCTAACGCTCATCCCCCACTCAGTGACGGAATCTTTCAGCTTAGTGCGCCATAAGTTATGATACTAAGACGAAAGTTTGGTGAGAAGGAGTACTGCAGAACCGCATTCTAGCATCTGATGATTTTGACTTTCGCTGGCTTGGCTATATACACTAGCCATGGAAATAGAAGCGTTGGGTTGCGAGTTCGTTCTTCTAGACATCTCTCTTTCCTTCGTCATCTGACCTCTCTTCCACGCTCTTGGTATCTCCTCTTTGCATGCTCGTGTAAAGCTCACACTATCACTAACACAGGAACTCATTCATTACGTTTTGTGCGAGCTCCATGGCATTTCTTTCCATGAGCAAGGTTCGGAGCATCTTTAGGTTTATGTAAGGAAAGTGGAGTCTCGGTCATAGTGTGAGTGTTTAATAGGCTATAAATATCCTGAACATTCAAAATGTAATAGCTATGAAAAAGTGGTAAACTAACTTCGGACGGTGTAGGCGATGCTACCCTCAGTTCAGGCTCATCTTCTGGCTGCTGAAATCAGATGAATCTCCTCTGACGGCTGATTATATCATCCTCTACAACAGACCGATACTTGCGAACAGTAGCACGTCCGTGTTCCTGTGCAAGAACAACTCCGGTGGCGACCACCCCTGACGCTCGATGATGCTGATCGACCACGGGATCGTGCCTGCAAGGTGGCCTAACCTCTAGCAGTTGTCGATGGGAGAATAGCATTGCCAAGCACTTACACTGGGAGAAGGACCGGTTCGGCTACGTTTCCCGCCTTTCGATACAGAAATATCCAACTGAATTATAAATGTTCAGCCTTTAATGGACAGCCGTTACAATTTGCATTGACTGAAAAACTTACCGATCTGGACCTCGTGGTTGTAAATCCATCAGACCTCTGAAGAATGTATTATCAAATTTAGTGGTGCTCTGTGATACGTAACCACAACAAATTATGGAGAGCTAACAAACAACTAAAAGAATAACAAAAAATAAGAACAATAAGATCCTATTTCGCACAATTTCGAAAGTCTGGACAAGGAGAAAGGATTGGGTGTCGGTAACAATGCCCTGTTCATATGAGCGGAGTCGAGGGTGCTTTTGTATCCGTGCTTGCATGGTGGCCTTTCTACGATTTCAAAGAGTTGGGCAAAAGGACTATGGCGAATGGATTATTAAGTAAACCTTGCCAGCTCACACAATCGGCGTGATGACTGCATACCAGTAGATCGTCCCATCTCTCTTCAGCCTGAAGGCGAGTGGCACTATAAATCGACAAGGCGTATAGGGTCGATACGCCTAGCGTGGAAAAATATTGTACCCTTTAGCACGCCACGACACCAAGGTACAGCGGCATAAACAGCAAAGTTAGGAAAGTGGAACAATTTTTCCTGGAGGTGTAAACGTAGGAAAGGGGCTGTGGCAGCTACAGGGGGAAGAAAACTGGTTTGGTAAATAGAGGAGTAACGCATTAGAGAAATGGCAAAGGGTCAAAATATTCGTTGTACCATGCAGTTTCCGATGATAATTAGCCAAGCTCGAAGACCTAGGACTTAGATGATTATCCCTTGAGATATCAAAAATCCTACTATATATAATCCGCTAAGTGTGTGGCTGGGTGTGTGCTGTGCCTGTGTCTGTAGTGTTGTGTCACGAAATTTCATATCATCCGTCCCAACAGCCGTGGGAAGTTGATTTTGAGAAGTTGTGTAGGGGCTGTGACGGGGAAATTATTGGTGCGTGACAGTGGTAGTGATATCAGCTGATAAGATCAGATAAGAGGGGCGCTATAAGAAGGGGAGGGTCAAGCCGAGTCTATATACGCGCGCCACCACAGGCATCGTTTGGACGTGACGTCCAAGATATGACTAACATAACAGCGGACAGGAACCATATGTTGGGTGGGTGAATAGGGGAAGACATCAGGTGAATTTAGATCTGACTAAGAGGTCTGAAAGAGAGGATCACCGAATACATAGCGCGGATCACAGCATCGTTTAGACGCTGTTTTCATGGTATGATACAGGGCTCGACGAGAACATTATCGGTGGGGGACAAGAACTGCTAGCAGCTGATAAGATTTGATAAGAGGAATTTAGAGTGGGGAAGATGCACATATTTCATTTAACCGGAGGGCACAGCACAGCAACTCTTAACTGATCCGCGCCCGAGTGAGGCCGCGTTCATAGCTTGCGACCATGAAGAAATGCAGAAATGCGGAAAATGCAGAAGTGCGGAAAGTGCAGACGTGCGGAATCTGCAGAAAAGTAATAGATACGTATCGACTTGAAGAAATGCAGAAATGCCGAAACTGCAGACGTGCCGAAAGTGCAGACGTGCCGAAAAGCATTACATACGTATCGATTTGAAGAAATGCAGAAATGCCGAAAGTGAAGAAGTGCGGAATCTGCAGAAATGCCGACACGTGCGGAATGTGCAGAAATGCCGACAGTGCGGAATGTGCAGAAAAGCAACCGATACGTATCGATTTTCCACACTTGTCGGCATTTCTGCAGATTCCGCACTTCTTCACTTTCGGCATTTCTGCATTTCTTCAAATCGATACGTATGTAATGCTTTTCGGCACGTCTGCACTTTCGGCACGTCTGCAGTTCGGCATTTCTGCATTTCTTCATGGTCGCAAGCTATGAACGCG